CATAACGAAACAGTATTTAAGTAAGGTATCAACGAGCGCCGTCCTATGCTACTAAGCACTGTCTAATTTAAATTAATGGTGCATTTATTTTGAAATTTTAATCTGAACGTAAATTAAAGGGCGTACCCCCTTTTCATTACTCTATATTTTCACTCTATTCTAGGTCCCTTGCTATTTTACATTTGCCCAACTATTTTCGGTCATATTATAATTTTTTTTTGAACTTTTATTTTTTTATTCGCACCTTTCATAATGGTAATGGCAACCAGTGAATGTAATGATCGTTGAAAAACATAATGCCATGTAAGACATGAGGGGGAGCAGTGCCCAGCGGCTAGCGTGATATCTACATTAGGCGAGGAGGTCACTCATCCAGCTCCTCTTCAGCCTCCAACGGACGTTACCTGGCATTAGCGTAGTGGCCATGTCATTGATGAATGTGTTAGGATGTCCTTGTAAAATGACGTGGAGTCGTTGGTAATGAGTTCGTATGTGTTCGTTAACAGTCGGCATATGAAGAGGTCAGTAAGTAAAGTTATGTGCTAACGTACCAAGGTGCTTTTGTGATTGTCCTGAATGTTTTCGCTTGAAAGATTTGAAGTTTTTAAAAGTTGCTACCAATGATGTTTATGTGAGTCTTTTTAGCTGTTCCAAATATCTGCGTAAGTTTAATAAGTAATTTTACATTTTTTTTTATTTATTCATGATATTTACAACTGTATTAATAAATAAAATACACTAAGTACCTTTGATAACAGAAAATAATAACATAAAATCACTTTTTGAGAAACTACCCACTGGTAGCACTCTAAAAACAAAATGTATTTACAATAAGAGATCTCGAGGCCATCTTCTTTTCATACGCCTCGGAGGGTTATCAGGAATAGAAGAAGAAGCAAGGTTAGAGACGAGAGGATTCGGATGGTTCTGAAGTTTATTATGGAAGGATTGGTATCTGGATTGGGCCAAATCGGAAACATATAGAACATTAAGGTCATTATGGATTATTTTATTGGTGACAAAGTAAGGCCAATATATATTACTATAATAAGGCCTATTTGGACTTACGGGATAGAGCTTTGAGGCTCTACTAAACCGTCAAATTCCTCTCGAATCCATTCCTTACAATCTAAATCCTTCGTAAAATCCTCAATGCTCCCTAGTTTGTCTCAAATAAAATCATCCATAACGACCTTGATGTTCCATATGTTTCCAATTTAGCTCCATCCAGATACCTCAATCCTTCTATAATAAACTTCTGAACCATTCGAACCCTCTAGTTTCCAACCTAGCTTTCTCTTCTATTCCTGTTAACCCTCCGATGCGTCTGAAAAGAACATGGCCTCGGGACCTTCCAATATAGAAATATAATTGGAGTGCTACCAATGATTAGTTTCTCTTCACGTTGTACATGTCATGTTACTTGTTTCATACTTACTTGTAGTATTTATCATTTAAAACAGTTGTAAATTTCAATAATAATATTTTAAAAAAAGTGAAATCAAAGACTATCTGATTAATAAGGGATTTTGATAAATACATAATAATATATAGATAAAATATAAATATGGATTAAGAAAACACACAAAAATATGAATAATCTAAATAAGGTTGTTTATCATAAAATTAAAATATTTCTAACGACGTTTCATTTGTAGACGAAATGGAATGAAATGTTATTTCTAAAATAAAGTTCTTCGAAATGTTTTCAAAAATTGACTGATGAGAGCGAAAATTAAGGTTATAAAAAGACGACTATTGCCGATTAAAATAATCTAAAGCTGATGTTTCAAAATGTTATCTTTTACGGGATTCTTTTCGTGAAAAGAAGTGGCCTTCCGCATGGCTAAATCGGACAATTAGCTTCCAGGCAGGTAAGAATTAGTTATTTTAACGTCTCGGCCGAATAATAACTTGTAATTAATTTAAAGCCCTTTCGTTTCCACCTCTTTTCATGTCCGCCCTTTGAATAGCTTCTAATTTATTTCATCCTTTCAAGGCTAATAGCTCCGTATTATAACCATAATTATACAAGCCCCCGAGAGAAAGAGAGAGAGATAAGAGAAATGATTTCCCCTCCTTCTTAAAAAGATATTTAAGGCTTACCTAACATAACATCATAGTGAATAGATAAGCTACTCTTAAAAAAAAATTAATGCGAGCTACAATAAAAAAAAAACAGATTAATGCGTTGAAAGAAACCTACTTATTTTTTACCAGAAAATACTCAGTTACTTTTATATATTAATTTTATTTATAAACCAACTCATGTTTATTTTTTGAGTATATGAAGTTAATGTATTACAGTTTTTTGTTTTCTTTTTCATATTTATTATTTTTTTCAAAAGATTAGCGCTGTGATGGATAAATCATTTTTTGGATAGTTCAGACTAATCTGTTTATAGTTAGAAAATTAACATGTTCCATTATAATGAGATTTTTTTTATTATTATTGAAATTTACCACTGTATACAAATAAATATACATTCAGTAAATGTGATAAAGATAAATATAGTGGCATGTAGAGGCTTGTAGAGGATCTACTCATTGGTAGTATTGGTAGTATCTAAATCAGGAGATCAAGAGAAAATCTTCTATATAATGAGAAAATCTTCTATACATCGAACATTCAATACAGACTAATTTTTATCGATTTCATTATAAAATAAACAAAATGTATTATAAATATCGTGGTACTCGTATTACTCATATAAATAAATAACTCTTTTAGAACGAGGAGGCAGAAAAGGGCGTGGATGAGAGATCCATTTCCGTATCCTGTCAAACTAAAATAATATAATAGTATGGAGACCTTTGCGTATTATTATTTATTGTTTTTGGTTAATATTATTTATATTAAGTTATAGGCTATGTCATATCTATATTGAAAAAATCCAACTAGACTCCATTGTTTCTCTAAAATGTAGGTAAAAAAAAAAATCAAGGACTGAATTTGCTGAGGATAAGGATTGCGAGAGGGAGAGGAATATATTTATAAATTTAAAATAACGATTGTTTTATTTAGGTTTCTTTAGAATGTAGTAGAAATAGAAATTTAAAAATACCAAATACCAATGATACAACATGAGTAGTACAGAATATCTCGGTCCATGACATCAAGACACTGAATAAAAAGAGAAGGTAACATCATTCACTTTTATAAGGAATATGGTTTTTACCTTTCAGATCTTCATTTTACTTTATAATCCAATTCATGTTTAATATTTTCCGTTATTAGGTAGTGTTACCTCCTGTTTCTTTTAGACATCAATGTTTGAATGTCATGGAATGAAATGATCTTTTTTTTTTCGGTCCTAATGGTGCCTGAATTGGCTAAAAGTTGACGTGTTAGTGGTTTTTTTTTTTTTTTTTTTTTTTTTTTGCAATTTAAAGACACACGGCTGTGTTTTGGATATTTGCAATTTTTTTTTATTACACATATAATATTCTGTCACAGGGACAATAATTTTATTGATAAATGAACACATTCACACCGTATATACAAAAAAGAAATAAAATTAACAAAAGTAAAATAATAACTAAATAATAATAAATAAAAACTATGTACAATAAAAAAATAAAATAACCTAAATATAAGTAAATTAAAAACATAATAATACAGTAGTACCAATATACAATATCTACAATCAGGCGGGAAACCCAAATCTCTGCGCTGCTCTCTCAACCGCCTCACCGGTGCTAAAGCCTTTTTGTTTGTTTACTAGTTCGTCTTATTCTATTTTTACTTACTATATTATTACCATTGACAGATAACAAGCAACACATCTTTACTGTTCGTTTAATAATTGGTCGTTTAATAATCTATAATCTTTAAGAACTTACGCGCTGATGAATACAATGAGTTTGGTGGACAAAATATAAATATAAATAATGGCAAGAATGTCCAAGTTTTGTTTAGTCACTCCTGGATAGCTTGAATCCAAATGTCAAAATACAATAAATTACAATCCCATTTTGCAATTTACAAGCTAGGGAGAGCAAAATAAATAAAGTTCCTGGCTACTTTAAATAAGGCATTTAAACGAGATCTCCAAAAGGCTGAAAATTACACAGATATATATGTTTTGTGTGTTTCCTGAGTTATGGAGAGTCGTTAAGATGATATAACGTATTTTTGTGAAATTTTAGATTTTTTATTTAATATAAATATGGGAATTAATTCAAAAGAAATGAAAATAAAACAGTCCTGATTATGAATTCCAATGTATTTATTATTTAATTAGTTTTGAAACAATATATATATTATAACCCAACAGATTAATTGAAACATAAAAAATTTAAAACGGTCGTGTCATTTAACAACATTGCTTGTATTATTGCCAGTAAAGGTTTAATAAAATGAAGCAAATTTAATCTGCGGATTTAATCTGCTGTGGCGTATATTTCTAAACCTTGCTCTGATCATACGACAGTTATTTATCATGTTCAGTTTTAGCAATAAACTGCGAAATTGTATTTAATATTTAAATGGAACAAATATTGATTGAAAAATCCATTAGTCATTTAATTTTATTATATCAAACACTAACTTTATGCATTTAAATCTTAGTTTTCAATTTTTCTGATTATAATATAGAACCTCTAACTGTTTGGTTTATTCAAACTAATTATAATGATTGCGCATTTCAATATGTTTTCTTTTAAAGATGTTAAGAACAATATTCATATCTGAAAATCTTAAAATACCATTTTATCGTTACGTAACACAAATATAAGAGTCGAATGAATAAAGAATAAATGTATACTTATTATGTCATTAAATGTACATTTAACGTTATTTTTAGAATTGATGTTCACATTGCACTGTTTTGTTTCAGATAATTTATTATTTTCGTTATTATATGGATAAAGCGGAGTTGATCACATTTGTAAACAGTATTTGATCAATGAAGCGGAGAACCATTTATTCATCAATTATATTAGATTTGCTTGATATATAAATAAATCAATTTTATTTTAAATAGGCCTTTGTTATTTACCTGTAGTCTCTCAGCGTAGTATACCAGCGAAGCGAACACCACGATGCCCAGTACCAAGAAGAAAACCAAGAGGGTAAGCTCTTTAGCGGAGGCCTTGAAAGTGTGGATGAGGATCTTGAGGCCCGGCGAGTGCCTGGTCAGCTTGAAGAGTCGGAGGATCCTCACGATGGAGAAGAACTCGAGGATATCCGCGTGGTCCTCGGCCCAGTCTTGGAGGAGGACGTCAGTGTAGAAGCTGAGGGTCGCCATGAGGTCTATCACATTTACTGGCGACTTGATGAACTGTACTTTGTTAGGGTTCACCTGCAACAAGTCGAGGGATCCTTTTTAATTTATCAAATAGCGGTGGGAATTTTTCCACGTATTGAATGAATGAAATGAAAGAAAACATTAATTTTATTCTGCGACTAAAGTATCCTAAGAATAAATACAGAGTAATATACATATGGAAATAGGTAGAAAGTTCCAGAAGGTGGCAGCAGGAATGACGAAGAATTTGGTGAAGAAGTGGTTTTATGGAAGGAGATATGTATATCAGTAGGTTGAAGTATTTTATCAAGAGAGTATAGACCACTTTTTATCAAACTATTACTATCCATCTGACACTTGGTCAGATACCTTCATCTCATCGTAACATACTATTTTATTTATTTAACTATGTTATTTACGAAAACTCTTGGAATTGGGCGTTTCCTGAGCCCGGGAAACTTGGTTTATTTAATCAGGTACTAAGAACTCGTAAATATTTATTTGCTTTTCACTTGAATCGTAAGATAATTTGATCTCAAAATCTAAAAAAAAGAAGGTGGCCAACAAAAATAACGAGGTTGTATACGGCAAACGGTCCAATATTTTTGCCACTTTTTTCCAAGATTTTGGGATCAATCTATCTTACGATCCAAGTGTGTTTAAAAGAGGTTTTAGTACCTAATTAAATAGACAAACTTTGCCGATATCCAGATTGAAAACGACCCAATTCCAAGAGTTTTCGTAAATAAAATATTTGTAGATTACCATGAGATGATGCCATTCACGAAGTTTCAGACGGATGTTAATAATTTTATAAAAAGGCGTCTGTACCACGGACTAGTAGATATGTGTATTAAGACACGAGTTTGGATAGTTTCTGATCAATAATTGTCTGAAAATAACCATGCTTTCCAAATTATTCGAAAATAGATCACAACTCTGGTCTTCAGATTTGTATGTATGGGATCGCTCATTATCCGATCTTCATCCCAATGGAACTTCAGCCATTTTTACACACGTCGCTCCAATACCCTTCCTATCCATAAATCCTACCTATTAAATCATTTCTTATCTACCCAGTCCCAGTTTTCGTATCGATGAGGCTCATTAGCCTACATTTCTGTCTTTCTATATTATTCTAAAGGGACTCGTCCCAGATTAAATAATGTATTGTTATTATTATTATTATTCAGCTCCTAGTTTCACACCTCATTTTCCCCAGTTTGATGATGGCCGCCTTGTTGAGACTATAGACTCTCTGAGGGGCATGAGATTAGGCCGAAGAGACTAATGGAGTAATATGCAGTCCTCAGGCGATCCCGTGTCTCCAGTTTGGTATACCGAGTTGAAGTGGTCCGTTTTATTTTTCCGACGGCAGTATTTTCAGGATCTTTTCTGAACCTTTGAAACAAAATACAATTCTTAATTTCTCGATTGGTTTACTCCATGTTCCTCTGTCATTCTTTAACAACGAAATTTTGGTTCAAAATACTGTCCGATTTTCTTTTATTTTAATTTAACGTTTTAAAACCCCCTAATTAAATTATTTCTTAACTACCATTCTGTTCCAGACAAATGTAATATAACTTCTATTTTTCATTTTCATTATTCTTAGGAGACTAAATGTTCCAGAATAAAATTGACTTTTCCTTAAAAAATCATTTTCTTCCAGGAAAAAATATTAATTACCTAAATACTTATTCAAATTGATTATGAAAGTTTTTTAATATTAAAATTACATACTGTTTATAAAACTTTCTTTCGGGACAACATAAAAGAAAAAATACAGAAATTCCTTCACTGATTTTAATTTAACATGTTATAGTTTTAATAGAATTTCTTCCTAAATAATTTAATTCAATTAAAGAATTATAGCATTATAATTGAATATTTTTCTGGAAGAAAAAATAATTAATTAAAAAATTGTGAGTATTATAGTTTTTGATAGTGAACAACATATAGGGTGAAAAATTAATCAAATAACGATATGTTAACTGTAGAATTTGTTTTTTAATCCTTGACACTACATTTTTGCTTCGTAAAGTTGAAAATGATTGTTTTACTTCCCCATTTTTTTTTTTATGGAAATTTAATAAAATTTCCATTGGAACAATTATTTCCTATTTAATTATTTACTACAATAATTAAAACTGATTAATTTTTTACCAGTCCCCATTAATCTACGACCTTATATGTTATGATTTGTGATAATGATATTTAGTTTAAGACTATTGCGAATTGATAGAATTTGACTAAATTTTATCACTTTCATCAAGACAATCATGATTATCAATTGTGATTATTTTATTACAAATGCTCGAGGAGATTCTTTATAAATATTCTGTCAATGCACTTTCAGTTTTATTTCTAGTCTCTGTTCTATTTACAAACCTGTTCTCAACAGTCAAAGTCCGCAAATATAAAGAGCTCAACAGTCGTCACAAAGACACAAGCTGTGTGTCAGCGGTTTTCGCGATTCCGTCTGTTGATCTTCACTCTCTTCCGATCTCTTCTATGTATATTCACTTCTATCGGAAAAGCCAAGCAAATAACAATTATAAACAATATATGAAAATATTTGCTAAAATCATATTGATAATTAGCGTTAATATTTTAATAAAGTGTGAACGATGAATGCCTCTGACTAAACTAACCCTGATTTACAGTATAATCTGCGGTAAAAAAAATAATAACCTTTACCACTACAATCTCTGGAAGGTCAGGGACTCAACCAAGCTTTACTAGGATGTGCAAGACAATGATTTGACCTTGATCACCCTCAACCGGAAGGTTTTTTACAATCACTTACATACTTACTGTAAATCGTGATATAATTTGATCACGAAATCGAGAAGAAAAATAGTTTAAAACGTAATTGGGAGTTTTGGCGTGACCACCCCAAACATGTCAAAATAACGAGGTTATGGAGGCCAATGAGCCCGATAATTTTTGTATCCCAACTTATTTCTCAATTTCGTTATGAAATTATCTTACGATTTATGCGGATATCAAAGGGGTATTCACGAGTTGTAAGTACCTAATTTAATTAATTAATTTAATGATAAAACGCCCCATTTCTGAGAATTTTAGCCAATAAAAAATGTGTAGGTTACGATATGATGAAGCTACGAAGTTTAGACCGAATGAAGTCTCTACCTCGGACTAATTAATAGGTATATGCCTCGGATATTACAGAAACTCTTTCGCCAAAATAGATGAACCTGAAGTGGCTATTTTATATGACCACTATTATAAATAACCACCTGCCCACAACCGGATTCGAACCTGGGACCTGGAACACAGTGGCTTATTTTCTGAGCTAAACCCCTCACTAATTCGCGGTTCGAGGAGCCTCTTTAATATGAAGATATACTAAAATTTAATTGCACCATACGTTTTGTAATAAGATGAAAAGAAAACGCCTCTTATTATTGAGTTACTAATAAAATAGATCAGATATACAAAATAATAGCTACAGTCAGGTTTTAATTAGTTTATCTGAAATACATTTTTAGTGGGTTTATTGAATAAATATTATGAGTAAACCTACATGGAGCGAACTCATGATAAATTCATGAAAGTATAAATTCTAAATATACGGAAGAGGCTGTGAGTATTGTGCCTATAGGAGGCTAAGCTGTTTGCTGTTTGGAGGCGGCTAACAAGAGGACCGGGTTCCATTGTACTCCTCCCTCTGCTATAGTACTCTCCTCTATACTATAGTATTCTTCTCTATACTATAGCATTCTCTTCAATTTCCCCCCTTTATCATTATTAACTTACAGTTTTCCTCCGAGCTGCTTCTCAATGAGATACCACCAATCCTCTAGGTCCTCCTCTCCTCTAGATCTTTTGTACTGCGATATCCATTACCCGATTTATTGTATTTTATAGTTTTCATATTATAATTTAGTTTTGTTATAGTTAAGCCCACACGTCAAAATAAAAAGAAAGACTTTGAACAAGCGACTGAAAATACTATACTCACTGTTTTTTTAATCAAAATTGAAAATTAGACAAAAACTAAATATATACTAAATATAACTAATAAAACTATAATAATACCTACTTTAATAAAACTATAATATAACTATAATAAACTATAATAAAACTATAATAAAACTAAATATATACCTACTCAAACCCAACTGGACAAAGGCCTCACAAATTTACGGTTCAGCAAAAAAGGCTCACTTACAAGAATTACAATCTTTTAAATCTCAAATTTTAAGACTAATAACTGTAGCTCCATGGTATATCAACAACAAGCCTTTACATACCGACCTAAGACAACCAACCATTGACCAGCACATATGTACTCTCTACTCCCGATTTCATCTTAAACTACACGGACATCACAATAGACTTATCAACGACATAGCCACGGCTGAAATGCTCATCAGGAGGCGACTGAAAAGAAGCTGGATGAGAGATCTCCTTTCCTGATTTTAGGATGTAAACTGACCAGAGTGCTGTTGGGCTCCATTCTTCGTCATGCCTATCATGCCATTTTCTACTTAACAACAAATCCGCTAATTGTCACTACCATGACAGGTGCGGATGAAGAATTGAAGACGAAAAAAAATGTTTTATTACTATAAAAAACCCAATTTTATTGATTCTAATATTATTTTATTATTACGAAACCATTCTGATCAGCAGGACAAAGCGCTATTGGAGGTTTTTGAGGAATTTAAAAACGCTGCAAAACGAATTGTGAATGATAAAAAGATGGTACATATAAAATTCGTTAAGAAATCCGCCAGAAAGAATGGTAGAAATCATCAATGGAAGCCAGAGATTTAAAATCAGAAAATTCAAGTACTTGAGAGTTCTTGTAACATGAGCAGCCAATAGGCAAGTGTAGCTGCCGGTAAACGGTTTTATTTGAAAGACGCCGAAATTAAGATGTATGACCTAAAATAGTCTTGTGCAAAACAGTAATTAGAACGCCAGTGTCATAAGGCCTGGCTCCTTACAAAGCGTTGTGAACAAATATTAAGGATATGGGAAAGGAAAGTTGTGAGAAGAAGATAAATAACGTTTTTATCGTT